TAATAAATAATAAACTGAAGTAAATACTGTACTGATTTCAAATCGAGTACCATCATCTTATAACATAGACTTTAATAGGACGGACTGTACGTCTACCGTTGGCAGAATTTTTTTTAATAATCTGAATTTACAACTTGGTATTTGAGTCTTTGAACATGGCGACATGACCGACGCCGAAATAGCCGCCCTCAATGGTAAAATATCTGCTTACGTTGGCCAACCATGGTTGATAAAATCCCATGCCATACACCAAATGAATGAGTTGCAAATATGTGAGAGAGCATATCGGGAACTGAAGGCGAATGAGGTGTTAACACCTCAGGGTCGTCTTCATCAAATGATACATTATTGTTATCGAACCGCTCGGTTGAAGTTAAAACCCGAGTCGGCTTCACGCCAGGCAGATCTGATTGGAAAATTTCAGTCGAAGATTCGTGAGCTTCGGATGTCTTAACCGAATACGGGAATCCCGACGTGCGATCCCCAATTAAGTTTGAACTCGACCTTCCATGGTTTTGAAAATGAACGGGGAACGATGAGTTCAACTCAAAATACTGTTCCATCACAATATTTACCCTTAGCCATACCAGATTCGATTCCAAACCAGAATATACCGACTACGGTTCAGGCAACTGAACCACGGTATACCCTGACCACCAGTACGGTTAATTCAAATGCTCAACCAGCCGTTCTCAATTCAGTGTCAGGCGGAACGGAACCAACACCCTCATTACACCAACTGTCTGTAATGGTGTCTGAGTTGCTGAAAGTCCAAACACAGATGCAACAGCAAATGATCCGTGATCGGATTCAGTTGCAGACACAAATTCCTGATGTTCGTGATATGAACCAAACCATGCCAACGACCTGGAATCATACCTGGATACCACCCTCGGTGGATCCTCCGCATGGTTCTTTGGGTGGTCCTTCAACCTTACAAACTCAAACGATCAATACCTACCGTGGTCTTAGAACGTCACATATCCAAGAACCAATTAATCAACCATCTCATTTATATCCGAATTATTCGCTATCCGGTCCACCACAATCACGACCAAATCAAGCCACTATATTCGACGAATCTGCCCAAGCGGATGCAATGGATAGGAAATTCAGAGGCTTACCATCATGGATTGGACGTGCTCAATTCGATGGCGTTCATGTGAACGAAAAATTTCTATCGGTTTAAGATTATTTGGCTATTATTGGCTCATTTCGATATAAGATTGGAGTACCCGACCACGAATTGGTTACGCGTTTGGTGCCCACACTCACGGGGCCGCTCGACAATGGTACTTCACCGAACTGAGAAACTTCGGAGATTATCAAGATTTTTGCACGAAACTTCGTGCTCGTTTCCTCAACAACCATACTCGGGCCCAAGTAATAATGTCATATGCACAGATTAAATTCGATCCACGTTCGCAAACACTGCTGAAACATATCGATGACTTGACATTCCAATTGCAGGGTAATTCCTGTGGTCTGAATGAACGGGACCACCTCGATATCATCATTGGTACCTTATCCGATCATCTGCGTGAACTCGTCCACACTCGACAAGTCCACACGTTGGAGCAATTGCGTGAGTTCGCTCAGCGAATTGCACCATATTCGTTCATTGTTGCCACACCCCGTCCGGAAAGAACCCGTTCGGATAGACAGCGATCAGTTCCACGGGAAATTTCGGCAATACATGATCCACCGGATGATTCTTCTCATTCGGAATATACCGCTTCGTTTCCTGGGTCCGACTCCGATGACAAGGAATGTGCATACTTGAACAAGCAAAAGAAACCAATTAAAGCATCTCAGAAACATAGGTATTCGAAACCAGTCGAGGATTATAAAAATGACAAAAATCCAAAGGGGAATGATAAAGTAGGAACTATCGTCGACCCATTTTTCGTTGTTGAGGGCGACGAAAATGTACGATGTGCAAAATGTCTCGTGTGGGGCCATCACTTCAAAAAGTGTCGAACGCAACCAAATAGGGTGATCTGCTACAAATGTACAACCATGGGTTACGTCTGATCAATGCCCGTGGTCAAAAAACGCGTAAGGGATTCGATTGGGAATAGTGGTCCATCGTACTCAGAATCCACAACTTTATCTAAATCCACTGTCTCTAACAATCCGCACTCTACCGAAGTCCCTCTACAAATCGACAAATCTTCAGTCCCGAATTCCAGTAATAATTCTACTCTGATTCTTAATGAGTATAATCAAGCTCAAAGGGATGGCAAAGAACCATCAACCCAATATTCTGAACGAACACCACCAATTACCAAACCTACTTCAGCTCCAGTCCCTAATCACAATCAAGACGGAGACAACAAAGTTAACCCACCACGACTCCGCGATGTTTTCTTTATCTCAGAAAAATGCTTGACATATAATATGCCGAACGAGCAATTATCTCACGGTTATGGTTAACAACCATTCTCATACGGTTTTACTCGATGGTGGAGCTGAAGTCACAGTCATTTCACAAACATTTTATGAGAAGTACAGATGGGGGCAGTTGCAACCTACCAAAACCTCCATTGGTCTTGCCGATAATTCGATTTCATTTAAGGCCATTGGTAAAGTGGATGTATTATATACGGTCGGTAGTCTTACCCGACTGGTGCCAACTCTTGTCGTACCTATCTCACTGAAACACCCAATTATGGGACGGACATTCCTTGAGGCCTTCTATTTCGAACTGGTGCAGTACCAAGAGAAGGTTCAACGATTTTTAAAACATACAGCCAAAGGTGATACTGAAGAAGTTGCATCTGCTAAAGTCGAAATGGTTACGGCGGATAAATTTATTAATTTTTGTAACCAGCCACCAGGGAGTGGGAAAGAACAAGCTCAGGTATCTTCTATGAGTAATGATCTGGAGCCAATTGACGCTTCCACACTCGGTTTAGAGGGTGAACTAGATACCCCAAAAATAACGAGCGTAAGTCTTCCACATAATCTCACCCCCGATCAAAGACAAATGTTGGACGCCGTTCTCAGACTTTTTAATCCAACTCCTGAGTCTGGTCCTTTAAACGTCACTAATCAGATCGAACACGTAATTGATACGGGTGATGCAAAACCCGTTATGAAACGCGAGTATCCAGTATCGCCATACGTGGCTGAACAAGTTCAAGCCGAATTGGATAAAATGCGTAGTCGTGACATCATTATGACCATCGAAGAAAGCCCTTGGCGGTCACCAATTCTGGCTGTAAACAAGAAAGACGGAACGTGTCGCGTGTGCTTGGACGCGAGAGAGCTGAATAAAATTACCATTCCGAATGCCTATCCAATTACGGATACTAACCAAATTTTAGCACGACTAAAGTCAGCTAAATACCTAACCAGTATTGATCTGTCTCAAGCTTTCTTTCAAATTCCTTTGGCAAAATCGAGTCAACTGAAAACCGCTTTTGCATTCGGTAACAGACTTTATGCTTTTCGTCGCATGACGATGGGGTTGAGAAATTCACCCGCCACATTAGTCATTCTCATTGATAAAATTTTCCGTGATTTGGTTCCACATGCATTCGCATATGTCGATGATTTCATAATTTGCACTTCGACGTTTGAAGAACACGTTAAGATATTAGCTATTGTTGCAAAACGGCTGGCGGGGGCCGGCTTAACCATCTCAATATCCAAATCGAATTTTTGTTGTAAACGATTGGAATTCCTGGGCTACGTTTTGTCTCAACAGGGTTTATCTGCGAATCCATCTCGTATTCGAGCGATTGTTGAATTTTCACGGCCCAAAACGGCAAAAGAAGTCAGACGGTTCGTTGGTGCAGCAGGCTGGTACCGTAAATTTATTCCAAATTTTTCGGAGATCACAGCTCCCCTTTGTGAATTGTATAAAGGAAACCGAAAAAGACCCATTGAATGGAATACCGCTGCTGAACAAGCCTTTCTCAAACTCAAAGAGTGTTTAACTACCACTCCCGTTCTGACTATGGCCGATTATTCAAAACCATTCAAGGTTTATACCGATGCCTCGCTGATCGCAGCGGGAGCTGTTCTAGTACAAGAACATGATCGGAATGAACGTCTGGTTCAGTATTTTTCTAAGAAATTCTCGAAAGCCGAACAAAATTACACAGCATCTGAACGGGATTGCCTAACCGTTCTCTTAGCGGTCGAAAAGTTCCGTCCATATTTTGAGGGTCGTGAATTGGTTGTGGTAACGGCCAATGCAGCTTTGCGCTGGCTACAAACTCTCAAAGAACCAACTGGCCGTTTATGCCGTTGGGCGATCCGATTATCACCATACGATCTCTAAATTATTCATAAACCAGGAAAACATTTAGAACTTCCTGACGCCATATCTCGTTCTTTTGCTCTTCTCAACATCGTTCGTAGAAATCCAATTGACCTTCCGA